ACCAACAGCGTAGGAGGGTTCCCCTTTCTCTGCATCCTCGCCAGCATCTGTCATTTCCTGACTTGTTAATTTTAGCCATTCTGACTGTTATGAGGAGGTATCTCATTGTGGTTTTGACTTGTATTTCCCTGATGCCGAGTGATGTGGAGCACTTTTTCATGTGTCTGTTGGCCATCTGGATGTCTTTGCGGAAATGTCTGTTCATGTCCTCTGCCCATTTCCTGATTGGATTATTTGTTCTTTGGGTGTTGAGTTTGCTAAGCTCTTTGTAGATTTTGGACACTAGCCCTTTATCTGATATGTCGTTTGCAAATATCTTCTCCCATTCAGTCAGTTGTCTTTTGGTTTTGTTAACTGTTTCCTTTGCTGTGCAAAAGCTTTTGATCTTGATGAAGTCCCAATAGTTCATTTTTGCTCTTGCTTCCCTTGCCTTTGGCGACATTCCTAGGAAGATGTTGCTGCGGCTGAGGTCGAAGAGGTTGCTGCCTGTGTTCTCCTCAAGGATTTTAATGGATTCCTTTCTCACATTGAGGTCCTTCGTCCATCTTGAGTCTATTTTCATCTATGGTGTAAGGAAATGGTCCACTTTCATTTTTCTGCATGTGGCTGTCCAATATTCCCACCACCATTTGTTGAAGAGGCTGTCTTTTTTCCATTGGACATTCTTTCCTGCTTTGTCGAAGATTAGTTGACCATAGAGTTGAGGGTCTATTTCTGGGCTCTCTATTCTGTTCCATTGATCTATGTGTCTGCTTTTGTGCCAGTACCATACTGTCTTGATGACGACAGCTTTGCCTTTTTAACCCAGCCTCTGCCGCAGCTAGAAAGCACCTATGTGTCGACATTCTGTAGAGCAGAATGTGAACAGAAATTATGTATACAACATCTGGATTGTGCCCTTGGAGTTGTACTTCCCTGTGTCTCCTCTGTGCCATAATAACTGGTTGCAGCTGCCATCTTTCAAATCAGAGGTAAAACTGTGTGTTGGATGTCAGGATGGAAAAGCCACATTAAATGCCCTTTATCAGCACATCTCCAAACTAAATGAAAGAGAAATAATTTTGTTTAAGCCATTGTTAAGTTGTTTCTAAACCAGATGGCCCACACCATATCACTACCATTTAGTTTCACTTAAACTATTGGTTGAAACACACAAAAGTCACAGCTAGAAAAGTCAATTAAGTACATTTAAATATAGAATGAATATTAGATATTGACAAATCATTTTTCTTTCCTTGGGTTGCTAATTGTGTTGTTTGTGTTGTGGTTATATTGGTCGTTCTTAGATTCATACAGAAATCTTACTTTTCAATGGTTTGGCAATATAAGCATAAATAAATAAATAATGCAAATGTGGCAAAATATTAACTATTGAATCTAGGTGATAGATATATGGATTTGGTTGTATTTTGCTTTCGTGTTTTCTTTATATTTCAAATTTTTGACAATAAAAATTTGAAGAAAATCAATAAGAAAGACATCTGATAGAATGTGGTGTGCCCTTGGAGCTATTAGCGCACAGAGGCAAGACCTGAGTGCTGCACAAAGGAGGTACTCTTAGGAAGGCTAACCTTTGACAAAGCAGACACGTTTGCATCGTGCTACCACTGTTCCTCCTAGGTCTAGAGAGAATTCGCTTTCTTCCTGCTGGGGTTAGTTTACAGATTGTGGACAACTTTGTCAGTCTTCTGTAATTCAAGTTAAATGGCAGGAAGTAAAGTGAAGGTAGTATCCAACCGACATTGTTTTAAGCTGACAGTGTGCATGTGCTGTTTAATGTATTTTATTTGCATGCTGTCTGATACACTTTACCTATCATCTGTGGTCTATATTGCACCCTTTAGTGGGATTCGTTTTAATTGTACACTCTACAACTGCTACTGTCTTCCATACAAATGTTATAATAATGATGATCATAATAATAATAATTATTATTATAATTATAAAAACAATAATAATAATGTTTCCTTGTTTCTGAAGGCTGCAGAGACACACAATAAAAGTTTATCTGTTATAAACAAATGGGACCAGATCTTAGATAACATGTAAGAATTAAACTTTTAAAACCTTACTACTGGGGGTGCCTGGGTGGCTCAGTTGGTTAAGTGGCTGCCTTCGGCTCAGGTCATGATCCCAGGGTCCTGGGATCGAGTCCCACATTGGGCTCCTTGCTCGGCGGGGAGCCTGCTTCTCCCTCTGCCTCTGCCTGCCTCTCTGTCTGCCTGTGCTCACTCTCTCTGACAAATAAATAAATAAAATCTTTAAAAAAAAAAAAAAACCTTACTACTGTACGCTCTATACATCTTAAGATCACATTTATGGAATTTAACTTTAGTTGGACTGTGGCCAAGTACTCATTACAGTCCAATAGGTCTGGCTTATCTGGCTGGGATCAAGGTATTTTTTTCCATAGAACATGTTTCCAATCCATAACAGTGACAAAAGGAAAAAAATATAAGTTTGAGGGGCACCTGGGTGGCTCATTGGGTTAAAACCTCTGCCTTCGGCTCAGGTTGTGATCCCAGGGTCCTGCGATCAACCCCCGCATCGGGCTCTCTGCTTGGCAGAGAGCCGGCTTCCCCTCTCTCTCTCTGCCTACTTGTGATCTCTGTCAAATAAATAAATAAATAAATCTTTAAAGTATATAAGTTTGAAATAAATTGTCTTTAAGTATCCTCCATGTAAGTACTTTGTTCTCTTTATTGATGTTTATACCTGTGTTGCAGTATTTACATTTATCAGATTATAAATTTGGAAAGTCGAATGTCACATCTCTGTGATTTTTACCTTACTTATATGTACATATGTATATGTGTGTGTGTGTGTGTGTATGACAGTGCTAATCAATAATATAATTAGAAATTGTATGAACCACACATGAAAAAATGTTCATCATCACTAGCCATCAGGGAGATTCAAATTAAAACCACATTGAGATACCACCTTACACCTGTTAGAATGGCCAAAATTAGCAAGACAGGAAAAAACATGTGTTGGAAAGGATGTGGAGAAAGGGGAACCCTCTTACACTGTTGGTGGTAATGCAAGTTGGTGCAGCCTCTTTGGAAAACAGTGTGGAGATTCCTCAAGAAATTAAAAATAGAGCTTCCCTATGACCCTGCAATTGCACTACTGGGTATTTACCCCAAAGATATAGATGTAGTGAAAAGAAAGGCCATCTGTACCCCAATGTTTATAGCAGCGATGGCCACGGTCGCCAAACTGTGGAAAGAACCAAGATGCCCTTCAGCAGACAAATGGATAAGGAAGTTGTGGTCCATATACACTATGGAGTATTATGCCTCCATCAGAAAGGATGAATACCCAACTTTTGTAGCAACATGGACGGGACTGGAAGAGATTATGCCGAGTGAAATAAGTCAAGCAGAGAGAGTCAATTATCATATGGTTTCACTTATTTGTGGAGCATAACAAATAGCATGGAGGACAAGGGGAGATGGAGAGGAGAAGGGAGTTGAGGGAAATTGGAAGGGAGGTGAACCATGAGAGACTATGGACTCTAAAAAACAACCTGAGGGTTTTGAAGGGGCGGGGGGTGGGAGGTTGGGGGAACCAAGTGGTGGGTATTAGAGAGGGCACAGACTGCATGGAGCACTGGGTGTGGTACAAAAACAATGAATACTGTTACGCTGAAAAGATATAAAAAATTAAAAAAAAAAGAAATTGTATGAACCAATATATAGGGGGGAATATGACTATCCTTTAGAATCTTTTAGAATAGAACAGGGCAATTATGTGAACCTCTTATAATCAGACTGAGTAGAAAATAGTTGAAGGAACACTGAAAACTGTCAAGAGTTTCTGTCTACTTTTTGTTATCAAAATAATAGCACCAAAATATCAGGAACTTTTTTATAAAGGAAAATTACATCATGTATTCCAGGGTAATGATTTTTCTCTACTGTTGCTTGCTTTCAGAAAATTTAAATTGTAACATCACCATATTCCTACAAGACTTTTTTCTATAAGATAATTAAAACCATTTACATGTCTGTTCTTATAGGTGAAATAAAAGTTTTTTTAATGATCATACAAAGAATTCCAAGATATTAGCCCTAATAACAGAATAATTAAGTAATTTCATGACTAGATCTCTTGTTTCAAAACAATTCAACATTACAAAACAGAAGTATTTTCATTTACCTTTACTTAAGAACAATTATAATCTCATTTGTGGAAATATATGTCATTAATTAACCTATTTTTCACACAAGTAAGCAATATTATTTCAGGAAGTCAGAGTATTCTAAGATTAAAGTCACCAGGGCTGAATGCATCAGGTTTAAATCACCATTAAGAAATTGCCATCACCCAACAAAATGGAAACAAACACCACTGCTATTAACAATTCTGTCATTAAATTTCAAGAAATTATGGGTGGGAATTTTCTTATTATCTTATAAGTGTTTTTAGCTCTAAAATACAGTATTTGGGGGGCACCTGGGTGGCTCAGTCTGTTAAGCACCTGACTCTTGGTTTTGGCAAGGGTCATGATCTCAGGTGGAGACCCGCATGGGGCTCTATACTCAGCAGGGAATCTGCTTGAGATTATCTCTCTCTCCCTCTACCCTCTCTCTCTCAGATAAATAAATATATATTTTTTTTTAATAAAACACAGTACTTTCCTTCCTGAAGAACAAGCTTCCAGGGTGCAATGCAAAGGCCTCCATCCTCAGGCTACTGAGTTTGGAAGGACATTCAGAAAATAGTTACAAGGTTTGCTTCATGACAACACATTGTACCAGAAGATGAGAAGTGATGAGCTAGATTCTTATTATATCTGAGCCACTGTCTCTAGTATGGAAAATATCTTAGAAGCCTATTTATACTCCAGGTCCATAACTTACTATTCAGAAAGTTTACACAGTGATGAGCCAAATATCACACTGACTCATTGGATTCAGAAACCCATTAGTGACAAAGAGAATCAGTGTGTTTAAACCAGAAACACCCTGCAATTTTGTTCATCTTCCTTTCAGATCACATCTTCACATCCAGCCTCTGGATATTATTTCTTTGTAATCAAATACTGGCAATGTAACTTGATAATTCTTCTCCACTTTCAGAGAAACAGAAAGGGTTAGGTATGACTGAGTCGTTTTTCCTGTAGTTGTTTTTTCCAGAGGAGCTTGTTATTGTCTACACCTAGAATATTATTTTGCCTTCTTATCTTTTATTTTAAAAGGGAGAAAACCACATCTCATTTCTGGGCTAGAAGTCATTTGTATTTCACATTATTTGACTGAGCACTATTTCAATTTGATACTCTAGTTTTCTGTGTAGAAATTATATTTAAATAAAGTGACTTTCAACCCCTGCCTAAGCATACAGGAGTGAGGGAGGCCACCATATCTGTCACCTCATTCATCACCAGGGTGAAGGTGACTAAACTGGTAAGCTAAGCATCTACTACTAGAAGTCCACACACCATCTCACGCATCCCTCGTGATGCCGCCTCCCTTCACTAACTGCTTCATCCTTATGGCAGCTGTAAGTGTAGAAAATAGAGAAGTTAAGGGATTTTAAAGACTGGTAAAGTTACCCTGCAGCCTCGGTTTTTAAATATATATATATATTTGAGATTGATATTTCTTCTCTCAAAGTTTTGATTAATTATGTCTTGAAATATAAGTTTCTTTTAGAAATGATCCACTGAAAAGTTGAACTTAATAGTCAAATATTACTTATCAAGTGGTTTTTAAACCCCTTGTTTAAAGCTACCATTAAATAAATGTCCTTAAACCTTAGACATCTCCTTCAAATCAAAGAAAGTTATTTTGTTCATAGTCTATCTCAGAATTTGTTTTAATCTGAAAAACTCAATGCTTGGAATATTGGATTCTCAATCTCTCTTCTTTGGGGGTACTTCACAGGGACCAAGAAAAATAGGACATCTGAGTTACAAAAGCAAGTAGACGATCAACTCAACTTTTTTAAAGGTAAGCAACAGTATTGCAAATTTGCCTTCTCTGCTGAAAAATGAAGACTAAAATAATTTCCACATATATCTTTCAGAGTCATCAGTACATAGATTGTTCTCATATGTTCTGTAGTCATTAATTTTCTGTTAAATATTTATGTTGCTTTTGGATCCATCAGTTTTTGTCTTCCCTTGTTGTATGACAAACTGTCCAAGAATGGAAAGAAAGAAATACCACATCTTTACTTTTTGCCCCATATCCTCATGCTATCCTTTTGGTGGATAAGTAAGAGCAATTAGACTCCAGAGTCTAATTGAGTCAAATGCCCAAAAACAATTCTGCAACTATACCAATACATTTTAGTTTTTATGAGCAACACATTATTAACAGTTTAACAGAAATTATTCCAGTTAAAGAGACTGCAGATGCTCTGTCATTGTGTATCTCTTACATAGCAATGAAAGGGAGAATTAGGAAATCTGACCTCTGCTACTCAGTTGATAAATGACCCACATCATTTAAGCAGTCACTTCCTACATTACTTCATCTGCGTCATTTTATTAACATCTAAGTGACTGAGGAAGATCTCAATGGCTTTCTGTTTCCTTAGTGGTTGTGTTCACACTGTTCCCCAAAGAGCTGATGACACAGTGACTGTTTTGGTCAAGGATTCCTTTTGTTTACTGTCCTTCTCTAGTTTACATCCTTTGTGGCCCTAGTCCATAACTGATCTATTTACATGTTTTCTTTTTTTCCTGAGTAGGCTTTAGATGTATTCCTTGGTTTAAGAATAAAGCTATAGCCACCTGATCCCTAACTTGTTAATGTGCTAGACTCCACTGGCAGAAATGACTTAATTTTACCACTCCAGACACACTGTTGGCCTTTCATGGTGCCCCTTACTTCTGTGTACCAACCTTGAAGTTTTTCTTAGATTGCCCATTTGTCCCAATTTCTTTCAGTTTGTCTCTCCCTAGATTTTCCCTAATCCTCATCTTCTACTTTTCTGAATGTCACCTACTGTTAAAGTCCACTCTCTATATTTGTCATATCATTACCCTTGAGCTTCCAACTTTGTAAAAATGTGATGACCACAGACTCCCTGTTCTTCTGAGAAGCTTTATTCTTTCCTATAGGACATTGGGAATGTAAAGAGATCTTATTCAACCAAATCATTTTACAGCAAAAGAAACTGAAGTCTGTAGAGATAAGTTAACCAAAATTTACCTCATAATCAACCACAGAGCCAAAATGAAATCTAAGGTCTTTCAACTGTAAAGAACTGGAGAATCCAGCTGTAGTCCCACTGATATAATTCCTGCTCTCAGAGGTCTACCTTCACTGGGACTCATTTCCTCCAGGTAGGATAACCATGAGCAAGCAGAGTGTAGTCGAAGTGCAAAGAAGGGGATCTGCAATCCACCCCAGACACTGGCAGCCAGCACTTCTACAATTCAATTACCTTTCATTTCTGTAGCCAGGAAGAAATTATACTGGAAAGGGGACATGTTATTATATATAAAAACAGGGAATTTTTTGTTGTTGGGTTTGGTTGGAAAAAAAATGTTTTGAATCCTCTCATTGGATATTGGATAACATAATTTTGGCAAAGCTTTTTAGCTTTAGCTTTTGTTTGTCTTCTTTGATTATAATTTTGCTTAATTTCCATGGTCACAAATTTGTTCATTGATTCCCCTCTGTAGGAGATTCTTTGGTAGGTTTGATTTTTTTTTTTTAACCCACCCTGTTTCCCTGTTTTGAAAAGTTCCAGATGGCTTAAGATGCCTTACTTCTGTCTTCTCAGAGCCTCCACCCCCATCTGGTGGTATATTTAGGGTTGACCATCATTGTGGCCTCAGAATATTTCTGAAGACTTTATTGGGAACAAAATTTCATCTGTCAGGGGCACCTGGGTGGCTCAGTGGGTTAAAGCCTCTGCCTTCGGCTCGGGTCATGATCCCAGGGTCCTGGGATCGAGCCCCACTCTGCTCAGCATGGAGCCTTCTTCCTCGTCTCTCGTCTCTCGTCTCTCTCTGCCTGCCTCTCTGCCTACTTGTGATCTCTGTCTGTCAAATAAATAAATAAAATCTTTAAAAAATGTTTAAAAATTAAAAATAAATTTTATCTGTCAGTGAATAACTTATATGGTAGTCAGCTCTGAGTCTAGCATATCTACTCATGGAAAATTGTTCAGAAACTAAGTCATCTTTTAGTTCTCTTTTATATTCATGACCTTTCTCTGGTGATTTATAATGCTATACACTCATATAGCATTTCATGGTTTTCACATTATCTTGTTTAAGCCTATGAAGTAGGTAAGGCTGATATTATCTCCCTTTTATGGTTGTAAACACTTTAGCTCAGAGAGATTCAGTGATTTGCCTAAAGTCACTTAGATAGTAAGTGACAGAGCTAAGACTAGAATCCTAGCAAGCCAGCATTAAGATTGTCTTTGTCTTGGGGTGCCTGGGTGGCTTGGTTGGTAAAGTGTCTGACTCATGATTTCAGCTCAGGTCATGATCTCAGGGTTGGGAGGCTGAGCCCCATGTCAGGTTGGGGCTGCTTAGGATTCTGTCTCTCTCTCCTTCTGCCCCTCATACCCCCCACAATGTTATCTTTATCTTATTGCCCACCAACTTGTCTCAAAGGAAAAATAACACATATTAAGAAGTAGGAATAGAAAAGAGACATTTTTATTGGAGTTGGCTATCATGAGAATCTCGACTGCTCCATACAACAAAAAAGATGCAGGTCTTATTTCCAAAACTGCTAATTTAACAGAGTGCTAATTATTGGTACAAACAGCAAAGTAAAGTCGTTTTCAGGGCTCTTTGACTGCTAATCACATCTCTGTGCTACAACTGATTAAAACCATGCAGTTTTACTTGGAGTCACAGTTCTCAAATGTTCTTGCTCAGTACTTTGCAAGGATTGTGTGGGAGTTTTACTGTATGACTAATGGGCAATGTAGGTGGGTGATGCCACAGAAGCCACCAAAAAAAAAACAAACAAACAAACAAAAAAAAAAAAAAAAAAAACAAGAGAAATTTCTGTGAGTTAGAGTTAGAGAACTAGAAAGGCCAGGCAATTTTCCTGTGTCTGCCACATGCCCTAGGAACTCTCAGACTTGCTAAGAGACACGGAAGAATCTAGGATAGAGAATAGAGAGGGAAGAAAGAGGAGGGGCAGAAGTAGGATTTGTTACCTATCACCAGCACTGTCCTCAAGAGTATCCAATTGCTTAGGACCTGGGAAGAAAGCACCAAAACTCCAAACACAAGATATTAAATTCATAATTGGTCAAAGTGCTTATACCTAAGAGGCATTCTTAACAGAGTACTGGTGATAAAGTCCTTCCATGTACTAAGCTGTGTTCACACATGACTTAGGGCTCTGAATGGCCCAAACTGGACAACCCAAACATGAGGTGTCCTTCTAGTCCTCCAAGGAACCTTTTTTGGGACCCTGACAAGAACCTTCCATAACAATTTCTCCTCTTGGGGCCACTTTTTGTGAGCAATGAGTCAGTATTTAACAGCCCAGAAAGAGGGACTAATATTTAATACTCTTTGATATGAAACCTCCCTAAAGAAGCTTGAAAGTCTAATGGTTAAATTTTCTGGTATCAAATTTTTTTATCTATATTTTGCTATATATTCCTGCCATTTATTTATTAATATATTTCTCCTCTCAGCCCTCAAAGTGCTATGTTTCCAAAATTCATCAGTTGAAATTTTATGAATATTGTTTCCCCCAACATCCTTCCTTCAAAGTTTTTCAGCCACACTGTTCTCTCTCTCCCCAGCCTAACCTCACAGTGTCACAATTAGGTTGTAAGGGAGGAGTAAAAAAAAAAAAAAAAAAAAAACCTGCTATCTAGACTCTCTGCCATGTGAGATCAGAGGTGTTCCAGAGTTTAAAGAAAACTAGATGCCTGTGCAAAGGTCTCCAGTTCCATTTCTGTAAAGGAAGCGTAGAACATAAACATCTCAGACTGTAAGGTCTCCTGCTCAGATCCCTGAAGAAGACTCAAGCAGTTGCACACAAAGAGAAAGGAAACATTCCTCTTTCTATTACATTTTTATGTGTATTACCTGGTACGTTTTAAATCCAGGGAACATCTTAGACATTTAATAGAAAAGATAGTTAGGTACTGTTCAAGT